ACTCTAGAGGATCCCCCGGGTTGCCTTGCCGCTACCATTAGGTTGTACATTACGACCAGTGTACGACCTGACCCACCTGTACGACCTGACCCACCTGAAAGTCGTCAAACACGTTTTGTTTGTTCTCTTTGGAGCCAGCATCACGCCAGGCGGTGCCGTACTCGCCACCGCCCCTCAGGTTGGCCTGGCGGGGACCCGCCATCGTCGGGTCGGGGGAGGGGGGGGGGTCGGGGGGTCGGGGGGTCGGGGGGGAGGGGGGTCGGGGGGTCGGGGGGGAGGGTGGTGATGGTCAGTGTGTCAGTGTGTGTGTCTGCATGCAGAAGTGGACACAGCACCCGCCAACAACCAACCAACCAACCAAATCCCCCCCTCCCCTCCCCCCCCTTTCCCCCCCACGTTCTCACCAACGCGAACACTCCGTTATATCCGCGCATGAAGGCCAGGCGACTCGCACTGAAGCCCGGGGTCATGGAGGCGTTGAAACCCCCGTAGCCGTACAGCAGGGTCGGGGCCGACCCCTCGGGACGCAGGTCCTTGCGGTGGGTGATGAACATGGGAATGGGGGTGCCGTCCAGGGAGGGTACGAACACCTGCAAGGCGGGGACCGCGTACGGCACGGAAATGGATTATGTAATATAAAATTAAAAAATACAGCAAAGACAGTGTTAACGTTGGGAGGGGTGGAGACAGTCCGTCTGTCTGTCGGATCTGTACGACATACCTGCTTGGTGACGTAATCCTGGGGGTCATGATCGTCCACTTGCAGTTTCGTACGGCGGTATAGTTGAGGCTCCAGGGGGGAGCCCGGGGCGGTGTCCAGCCGATAGATAGCGCCTGATCCGGAACGAACAGATAAATCAGACATACATACATAAATACAGATAAACTGACATAAATACATACCTACAAATAAATCGACATACATACTTGCACATACAGCTTACGTGTGCTTCCACCCTGACACGCCGAGAGGTCAAAGTAGACCGACCGACCGATAAGCAACAACGATCAACAAAAAAAGAAAGGAAATGAGAAGCCCTCCCCTCCCCTCCCCTCCCCTCCCCTCCCCTCCCCTCCCGTCACCTGGCTCCACGAAATCAGTGAATGAGAAGAACAGCTCCGTGTCCTTCCTGTCCCCGCTGAGGGCCCCCACACTGCCCGGGCCGGGGAGGGGCAGCTCGCGGACCAGGGAGCCGGTGGACAGAGAGCGAAGCTGCAATGCGGCAGCCTGAGGTACGGCACGGAAGTGAAGGGGGTAGAGGGGAGCGAAGGGGGTAGAGGGGAGTGAAGGGGGTAGAGGGGAGTAGAGGGGAGTGAAGGGGGTAGGTAGGGTGTTAACCATATGCAAGACAGCAAAAGGAATGAAATCCCAGCGTACGGCAGTAATGCCGTACGAGTACGGAACCTGAGGGGCCTGAAAGGGGAGTTGCGGTTGTGTAGGAGTTTGCTGCGAGGTGGGTCCGAAGACGATAAAGCCTAATTAGGAAACCTGTGGACGCGTGAGTCCTTAGAACCGCCAGTGTGGGTATTTAAAAAATAGCCCTCCTCCATCACTATTTCGATATCTAAGGACTACCTGAAGGGCAATTTCTTAATGAACATCCCTTTTCCAAAACACGTCTCGTTCGTTACCGAATCAAGCTGACAAGGCAACCCACCAACTAAGAACGGCCATGCACCACCACCCACAGAGCCATGAAAGAGCTCCAAATCCCCATACCCCAATTTTCCGTACATCCCATTTCCGTACACCCCATTTCCGTACACGTACCACGTCCCGCAGGTAGCGAACCACCATGGTGTCGCCCTTGAGCGCCAAGACGCCCTGAGGTTGGTTGTTAGTTGGAAATCGGTTGAGGTAGTTGGGTGAGCCGTTTCACTTTTGTTCGACAAGAGATGGCCTATTGGGGCCGTACGACTCCATCCACGAGGAAGACTTATGCTTACTCGCTGCCGCATCCCCTCCACTCGGTACGGCACCTCGGTACGGCAAATAAAAACACCTCCTTAACACCCCCCTCTCCCATCCCCATCCCCAACACCAACCCCTCACCAGCAGCAGCAGCATTAGGTCCCTGCAGGACCAACGACATTTCCTCCGTGCCGTACAACATGGTAAGGACTCCGTACCTTTAGTACGTCTTTGTCGTGCTGCGGGATGTGATCAGGCCAGGTAGCCGGGCGACCCGCGTTATTGATGTCCGCGACCTTGACCAACCTTTAGGTGTGTGTGTGTATATATAGAGAGAGGGATAATTCAGCGAGTTCGTGAAGCAGAAACAGAAAACACACACACGCGCACGCACGCAGGGATGGAAGAGGATGGCTCAGAATGCCCGTTTAACATGCCGCGCGTATTTTGTACGGCAGTGTACGGCAACCCGTACACACCTGTACCGCGGCGCGTCCAGGTTCGTGGTGATGTAGAATGTGGTTCCGTCGTTCGCCGACACTGAGAAGGAAGCTGAGAAGTCGTTGACCAGTTTGACCAGAGGCAGCTTTTTGGAGCCTGTTTAGGAGCATACAAAGTACAAAGAGGTTGGGGCATTTCTGCCACTTCTGGGGTTGGTTCGGGTTTTAGAGTGCTTGGTCCAATTTTAGTGGACGCCGCACCAAGAGCGTACACACTTAACGTTTCGTGCAACGTACTACAGTCGTACGGCAACTCACCTTTAAAGAAGTCGTACTTGGACCAGTCAGTGTGCCCCTCGGGTGTCTTATCCAAAGCCTGGGTGGAGGAGGGGGGATTGTATGTATGTATGTTATTACAGGGTGGTTAACTTCGCCAGCGGCCCCCTTTCCCGGGGCAGTCCCTGCTCTCCCCTGCTAGAGGGGCACCCTAATCCGTCACCCCATCCGACTTCAGAATGTATTCGTTGGGTTCGGCAACTCACCACCAGCATCCAACCAAATCTAGCGGATCAACGGCGCATCAACTTAGTTCCTGGTCAGCTCGCAAGTTGATATTATCACGTCCTACACCGTCCATAAGATGGGGGGCCACCTCCCATTTCATCACTCCTCAAACACCCGAGGAGCTGGCAGGCGGATTTGAACCCGGGTCGACTGGATCGACTGGGAGCAGAAGTCAGGCCTTAACTTCTGCCAGCCGCCTGCCTATATGTATGTATGTATGTATATATGTATGTATGTATGTATGTATGTATGTATGTATGTATGTATGTATGTATGTATGTATGTATGTATGTATGTATGTATGTATGTATGTATGACTTAGATTACACTGTGGGCCGCGAGAGCCGGGGGCCGAAGCCGAAACACGGCGCAAGGTATGTATGTATGTATGTATGTATGTATGTATGTATGTATGTATGTATGTATGTATGTATGTATGTATGTATGTATGTGGGACGAAGACGAATCACACACAGTGGGAGGGAAGCAGAGGACGTGGAAAAGAAGACAAGGGCTGGGGGCCACGTCATTCAGTGTACGGCGGCATACTTAGATCGGTTGCACCAGCTAATCGCCCAACCCAACGAACTCCCGTGACATTGTCGTACCTGGATGTCTACGACGTACAGGTGGTTGGCGGGTACACAGCCCTGGCTCACGTACAGTACGAGAAATCTGAAGTGTGGAAGTCAAGGGAGGGGCCAGACAACGGAAAAAACGAGCTGGGCGATTTTACTGGACATTTTGGTTTGTGACGTCGCGTGGCGGCCCTTGGAGATACCGTGTGCCGTTGGCATGTGTTTTTCTCCCCCAGCCCCTCCCCCTCACTTTCCCCCCAACACTTACCCCTCCTTCCCGAAACTCACCCAACCAGTCTGCTCTTGTCCACACAACCAGGTGTGTATGTGTGTGTGTGTGGTTTACCACACATACGTACATACATACGTAAGCCAGGCACCCACGCCATGCATTTTCCAACACATATGGCCCGGAAACTACGACAATTGACAGACAGACATGTACGACGTTCGTAAGTACCTGCCATCCTCGGTGACGTTGGCTCCGGTCATCCAGGTGGGGTGTTCGGGAATGGCCCAAATCACCGGATCAGAGGCCTATACAGGCAACAACGATTATATTTAGGTGACAGCGGATTGTGTGTGTGTGTGTGTTTCTGTGTGTGTGTATCTGTGTCTGTGTGTGTACGTGTGTACATGAACGTTACAAGTATCTATCTGACCGGGCCTGACGACACTGGCCACAGGGGAGGGACTGCTGCCCAGCCCCAACGGAAAGACCACCTAAGCTCTCTCCCTCCCGCGGACCACGGGAGAGGCGGGCGCTAGAGGGGGCTGGCCATTTGCTTTTTAAACCCTTCCAACGGCAGCAACGGTCAAGAAGAAGAACGATTTCCAAAAATTAAAAATCATAAAATATCATACAACACAAACAGAAAACACAGCGGCTCCTTTCCCACCCTTCCCCCAACCACCCCCCGCGGGGAACCCCGTCCCTTACTTCACTGCCGTAGATGCCGTACATCCCCATCCCCGGTATGCCCCATTCCAACACAAGCAGAAAACACACATACACATACACACACCCCTCCCGTCGCGACCCGTCCATTACACAATGCAAATGTGTAATGGACACCTTTCCTGCCGTACCTGCGGCGTGCCGAGCACGTGGTAGCAAAGGAGCTGGTTTGTGTTGGTGTCGGTTTCCGTACCGAGATCAGCCGGACGAGAGGCGGGGTCCGGGTACCTGTCGGGGGGGTGGGGGGGAGTTAGAGAGTAAGGGGAGGGAGGGGAAGACATTCCAATGTGGCGTGTATGTGTGTAAATGTAAAAATAGGTTAACATGCAAAAATCCGGAAAGGAAATTAGCTGCCGGTGCTCTAGAACTAGGAACGGGGAGCAGGCGTGTATGTCTTTATGTCTGTACACCGTATGTGTGCCTATGTGTGTCCGTATGTCTATGTGTTTGCCACATATCGATCCGGGCCTGACACTGGCCAGGGGCACCTAACCTTACCCCAAAGGGAACGACCGCTGAAGCACTCTCCTCCTTATGTATGTGTCTGTATGTGTCTGTATGTGTCTGTATGTGTCTGTATGTGTCTGTATGTGTCTGTATGTGTCTGTATGTGTCTGTATGTGTCTATGTATGTGTTCCATCTTAGACATGGCCTGTCACAAACATGCAAAGGCTCGCAATAACCCTCTGCCCGGGTGCACGTTGTCCACGTGTTTCAAAACCCCCGCCGCAAGGGGGAGAGTACTAAATTGCGTGTTTGTGTTTGTGATTTGAGTGTGTGATGTGAGTGTGTGATGTGTGTATCTGTGTGTGGCGATGTCGTACAACGGGAGGTAGGACAGCGCGGAGGGCGACTTGCTTTCCGTACACTCCTCCTCGTATCGTCCAACTCACTAAAACACACATAAACACACGCACCTGTTGTAGAAGAACCCCCTGTTGTCGTACGTCCACGCCAGGCTGCTAAACTTGACGTACTCTAGTACGTCATCCCCCGCCCCCAGGGGTGTGGGGGGCTCGTCGGTGCCGGAAACCCGGAGCACCTAAAACACACCGACACGCGGTGCGACGGTACGACGGCGGTACGGCAACAGCAACAGAGCAACATGATCATGATGATAATCCATTATTATGGTCTGTGAACACGAATGTGATGAAACTAACGAGTATGCGGAGTATGATGAGAATGATGAGACTGATGTGGTGATGATGGTGGTGGTTACTAAGACAAATTCAGACTGTTTACTTGCCTTGAAATTAGCCGTTTGACTTAGGGTTTTCCGCCCCCTCGCATCTCCCCCCTCGCATCTCTCCCCCTCGCATCTCTCCCCCTCGCATCTCCCCCCTCGCATCTCTCCCCCTCGCATCTCTCCCCCTCGCATCTCTCCCCCTCGCATCTCTCCCCCTCGCATCTCCCCCCTCGCATCTCTCCCCCTCGCATCTCTCCCCCTCGCATCTCTCCCCCTCGCATCTCTCCCCCTCGCATCTCTCCCCCTCGCATCTCCCCCCTCGCATCTCTCCCCCTCGCATCTCTCCCCCTCGCATCTCTCCCCCTCGCATCTCTCCCCCTCGCATCTCTCCCCCTCGCATCTCTCCCCATCGTACGAACCCTTTCCTCTCCACTTCCAACTTCTCCACTTCTAACCCCTATCAATAAACCCCTGCCAGACATCAACAAGCACACATAATCGTACACATAGTCGTACACACACAAACGCACGCGCGTGTGCGTGTATACAGATGTACATGTATACGTACTTAGCACACACGCGCAGAGAGATAGAATCAGGCCCGGTCAGATGATGGAACGCATCCATCCATCCATCCATCCATCCATACATACATATGCACGCACACGCACCTGTATTGTGTTCCAGTCGCTTCCTCCTTTCGACAAGCTGTAGGCGGCGAGACTGGGGGGAGGGAATGGCGGGGAGAGGGGGGAATGGAAAAACACACGAAACACATGCAGGGCGGGGCGGGGGATAACACAAAAATATCAACTGCCGACTTCCGGAGGAGGGTCTGGCGGCGCGCGTGTATATGTGTATGTGTATATGTGTATATGTATATATGTGTGTGTACCAAGGCTGTGTGTTTATGCCACATGTGCTCTATTGATTAACACCCCCGGGGCCCTGTACGGGTTTCAGCAGCTTTCCTCGCCGTCGTACCCTTCACATCAATGGAATGGTGATAGCCACACACACACAGACACACCACCAATCCCATCCTCATCCTTGCCACCATCACCCTCTCCCCATTCCCCCCTCACTCTTTCCTTGGCAGCAGCTTCACTTCTTCGTGGTTCGTCTTTCCCCCCCACCGAACCCCCCAACCCACCCACCCACCCCCACTCACCTCCCATCGTCCGTCCATTGAATGTCCGACAGCGCTGTCGT